GATAGATCAGAAGAATGCCAATGTGGTCTAGAATTTTACCAGAAATTACAGTCAAGCTTACAGTCTCTAGTTTGCAGACTCTACCATCTTCCCTTTTTTGGAAATTGGGACACCTGCCCTTCTTCCATTACTGCTAAAACTCTTCTGTTCTCTCACATCTTTTAGACATTGACAGTGGAGACTCAAGAATTAGATTTTCCAGATCTTTTAATATTCTGAGATGATGTGGTTAATTCCAATCCAACGGCTTAAACTCATTTTGAGAGTAGAGAGGGAGGAGGGTGCAGCTAGATAAATAGGACCTAAGTAATTCTACTTTCTCTTTGTCATCAATTACCATTACGCCATCTTCCCCAAGGAAAAGACACCCTTTCTAACTTCAGCATTTTTTTATGTCTCAGCTCACTCTGGGCTACAGCCTCCCTGATACTAGTCTTATAATTTCACATCACTCTTTTATAGTCTTTGATTACAAGCTCTTTTACAGCTGTTATATAAGTCCTTTAAAATCTGACCTCATCTGGCATGCTCCTCATCTCCTGATGGAGAGATGATAGATTTCAAGAAGTAGACTAAGGCATATGTTTTTTGGACCTGGACAGTGGGGGAATTTGTTTTTCTTGACCATGTATATTTGCTACAAGAATTTCTTTCCTTCTTTCCTTCCTTCTTTTTTTCCTTCCTTCTTTCTTTCCTTCCTTCTTTCCTTCCTTCTTTCCTTCCTTCTTTTGTGTGGGAGGGGAGGTAGAAGAGAGAATGGGGAAAAGAAAACAGATTTGTATTCATTGAAAAAATAAATTAAAAATCTGACCTCATCTAAGAACTTCTTATGTGGTTATACTAATTTCTTTAGATATATTTCCTTTTTCTTCCTCATTGAAATTTGTTATGATTGTAAGGACAGATTTTTTTTTAGAACTTCCCATCCATAGAGAACCAAATTTCCCTTTAGAGTTTCATTTCCATTTTCTTTAGATTCAAAAAAACCAACCAAACAAAACCCCACTTTTTAAAGGCTAGGATGCCATCATAACTGTATAGTGTTCCTTTTTTCCACTCTTATGAACTCTAAGAGGATGTGGTTTTCCTATTGCCACTTCTCTATCGTGAAGTAGTTCTTCCATATTGGGCAGAATTAGCTTCAGTGCAGCAGTTCCTCTTGTTCCTTCCTCTCAACAGTCATGATGGATCCTCACTTGAGTTCTCGTATGTCCAGATCCTCTGCGTAATCTTGGATTTTTGTTTTTGTTTTGCTGTGCACTGAGCTCAGAACTTTGCCAAGTCAAATATCAAAGCTGTTTAGGGCTCAATGTCGTCAAAGACTTAAATGCTGCTTCTGTGGATATCAGCTCTAGATTCAGATCTCTCATTTTGCCAGATTCACAGACATGGTACATGTGCCTCTGGAGTGACCTTGTTCCTTACTCATTCCCATATTTCAGCAGAACTAGGCTTAACAACTACCTCTGGGCTCCCCAAGAGCCAGATCTATGCCAACCACTCAACCACCTAAGAGTTAGCTTAACCATATCTATTTCTACCACAAATATCAGTGTTAGGAAAGGCCCTGATTCTTGTCTTGTAGTCCTGGGAATAAAAGGAATAATTTCATGTAACAAGAAGCTATGAGCTCACTTCAGCTCAAACCACTATAATTCTTCTTCTCTTTGAAAGAATAATTTAATGTTTAAAAAATGTGTTATGAACTTAACAGTAACAATCACAAAAATTTCAATATACAAAAAAATGATGTATGAATGTATTATATAGTTTGTATTTTAAAAGTATGCATTATTTTTAACAAAGTAGTAAAAAAATTGACTTGTTTCCTCTTCTGAACTTTTTTGTTTTCTTTTATATATTTTTCAACATTTTATTTATGATCTTTTCTTTTTTGCATTTTTTAAACTACCCAATAACTCACTCTCCTTTTCTTCTTCCATAACCAAATAGAAGCCCTTCCTTGAAGCAAATAAGTAAAGCAAAACAAATCAATACATTTGCCAAGTCTGAATATGTATGCTTTATTCTACATTCCTACTGCATTCCCCCCAATAAGCATTAGGAGGCATGTTTCACCACCCATCTTCTGAAGAAATCATTAATCAGCTGTTAATCAAAAGCTTAATCAACAGTTGATACTTGAAGTCTTTCAAAGATATTTTCCTTTATATCACTGTGACAATTGCATAAGCTGTTCTCTTGAGTGTACTCGTTTCACTCTGTATCAATTCACACAATTCTTGTTTCTTTTTTTAAAAATATTTTTCTCAATTACATGTGAAGACTTTTTTTTAGCCTTCCTTTTTCTTTTTTGAAGCATTCCTTTTTAAAAAAAAAAGTTGAGTTCCAAATTTTCTCCTTTCCTCCCTCAGCTCCCCTCTCCCTGAGATGGTAAGCAATTTGATATAGGTTACACATGTGCAATCATGTAAAATGTATTTCTATATTAGTCGTGTTGTGAAAGAAGACACAGACCAAAAGAAAAACACACACAAAAATAAAGTGAAAATAGTATGATTGGATCAGCATTCAGACTTCATCAATTCTTCTTCTAGAGGTGTATAATATTTTTCATCATGAGTCTTTTGGAATTGTCTTGGATCATTGTATTGCTGAGAACAGCTAAGTCATTCACAGTTATTGTACAATGTTGCTGTTACTGTGTACAATGTTCTCCTGGTTCTGCTCAATTCACTTTGCATCAATTCATTCATATAAGTCTTTCCAGGTTTTTCTAAAGTCAGCCTGCTCATCATTTCTTATAGCACAATAGTATTACACTACGATCCTATACCACAAGTTGTTCAGCCATTCCCAAATTAATGGGCATCCCCTTAATTTCCAATTCTTTGCCACCACAAAAAAGAGCTGCTATAAATATTTTTGTACAAGTTTATCCTTTTCTCTTTTCTTTGATCTTTTTGTGGTACAGATCTAGCAGTGGTATTGCTGAGTCAAAGGGTATGCACAGTTCAGTTGCCCTTTGAGTGCAGTTCCAAATTGTTCTCCAGGATGGTTGGATCAGTTCACAACTCCACCACCAGTGCATTTGTGTCCCAATTTTCCCACATCTTCTCCAACATTTATCATTTAACTTTTTTGTCATATTAGTCAACCTGATAAGTGTGAGGTGGTACCTCAGAGTTGTTTTAATTTGCATTTCTCTAATCCATAGTTTTTTAGAACATTTTTATATGATTATAGATAGCTTTGATTTTTTTATCTGAATCATACCCTTTGACCAAATATCAATTGAAGAATTACTTGTATTCTTATAAATTTGACTCAGTTCTCCATATAATTTAAGAAATCAGGCCTTTATCAGAGACATTTGCTGAAAAATTGTTTACCTACTTTCTGTTTTCCTTCTGGTCTTGGTTTTATTGGTTTTATGGAAAAAATTTTAAATTTTATGTAATCAAAATTATCCATTTTATACCTTGTAATGCTATCTCTTATTTGTTTATAAATTCTTCCTTTCTCCATAGATCTGACATGTAAACTATTCCTTGCTTTCCTGATTTGCTTATGGTGTCACCCAGTCATGCACCCATTTTGACTGGTTGGCATACAGTAAGATATTGGTCTATACATAATTTCTGCCATACTGTTTTCTAATTTTCTCAGCAGATTTTGTCAGATAGTGAGTTCTTGTCCCAAAAGTTGTTTGCTTTGGGTTTACCAAGCACTAGATTGCTATAGGGTCATCTACTACTGTGTCTTGTGAATCTATTCCACTGACCCACCCCTCTATTTCTTAGCCAGGACCAGACAGTTTTGATGATTATTGCTTTATCTTCACAAAAAAATTTTTTTTGTGGCTAGGCAGTGGGGTTAAGTGACTTGCCCAGGGTCACACAGCTAGTAAGTGTTATGTGTCTGAGGCTGGATTTGCTATGTCTTAGTACTATGATTCTCAGTTATGAATTTAAAACTATAAATTTTCCTGATTTTTTTGTCTTTGTTTATTTCAATCAAGTATTTTTTTTTCCTTTAAAGAATGGTTTATATATGCTCTTAATAAGAGATGCCTCTTCCTACCCTTTGACCCAGCAATAGCACTTCCAGGGCTATATCCCAAAGAGATCATACAAATAGGAAAAGGACCCACATGTACAAAAATATTCATAGCAGCTCTTTTTGTGGTGGCAAAGAATTGGAAATTGAGAGGATGCCCATCAATTGGGGAATGGCTGAACAAGTTGTGGTATATGAATGTAATGGAATACTATTGTGCTATAAGAAATGATGAACAGGATGACTTCAGAAAAACCTGGAAAGACTTGTATGGTCTGATGCTGAGCAAAGTGAGCAGAACCAAGAGAACTTTGAACACAGTAACAGCCATGTTGTGCTATGACTTATATTGATAAACTTAACCCTTCTCAGCATTACAAAGACCTAAGACATCTCTAGAGGCCTCGTGATGGAAAATGCTATCCACATCCAAAGAAAGAACCATGGAAGTTGAATTGCTATCATTTTTTTTCCCTCTTCTGTTGACTTTTGTTTCCTCTTTCTGATGGTTCCTCCTATCGGTTTTAATTTTGACTTACAATTTCACTAATGTGAAAATATGTTTAATAGGAATGTAAATGGATAGCCTATATCAGATTGTGCACTGTCTTGGGGAGGGTGGTGGAGAGGAAGGGGGAGAAAAATTTTAAACTCAAAAGCATGTGGAAGTGATTGTTGATAAATCAAAATAAACTAATAAAATTTAAAATTAAAAAAAAAGAGAGAATCCAAAAAAACAAACAAACAAGAAAAGAAATGCCTCTTCCTTGAAGAGGCTAGCACTGACTACTTAGTGAAAATTTAGAAAAAGAGCCAATCACTCACTTTAGTCTTCATTGCATTATAAATAATTCAAATTATTAATTTATTTTTAATATTAAATCTATGTCTTTACAATCTTCTTTGGGGTACACAGCCTTAAAGATGTCAGTCTCATGTCTTGTGCATCTCACTCTGTTTTTCCTTTTGGAATAACAAAGGCAAAGAAGATCTATGAACAGAAGTGCAAAGATAAAGATGAGGCAGAACAGGCAGTGCATCGGAATGCAAACATAGCAACGCCAAAGCAGCAAGAGAAGGTAACTGAAAAGACATTTTTTTACCCCTAACACAACTATTTCACTAGCATAGGTTATGAGCTTAAAAACTGAAGAGAAATAATATTGGGCCTAAACAATTGGTTGAAGGCAACTAAGAATTGTTTTTAAGAAGCATAATTACTATCAATTATTGGTAGCATCTTCTTTCAAGGTCATTGTTATTCAAAGCACACTAATGATACTATTGGGATTTATTTTGTGAATGTTTTGGGGACTATGCTTTTAAATAAATTTCTTTCCAATATTATTGTGGAAGATACTTTCATCTGAAAGTATGAATTATCCATTTAATTTTGCAACATGTGGGAAATAAAGATTTCTACCAATCAGAAGATAGGACTACTTTTATATCTAGGATAGTAACAAGTGGGAAAGGGTACGTAGTGAATACTTTGGGATTCTAACAATAAAACTAAGACTCAAAGTGAAGGTATTGGTAGGATTACAACTTCCAACTGCCCTGATCACTCGATAGTTCATCTAGTTTTAAGGACTGACCCAGCGTCATGGATCACCTGGAGAATTGACCTTGTACTCATGGTCTCAGATCAAGAATAATGCTTTTTAGATGGGAAAAGATAGAATAAAGGGGACTGAGGAAAATTAAAACCCAAGATAAGTAAGGAGTTAGTAAGAGTACCTACCTGCCTTGAGAAACTTTGAATGTGATTCCTGTACTTTAAAGAATCCATGATGAATAGGAAAGATGCTGCTGGAAATACAAATTAAAGGGTTGTTGTGGACAGTAGCTTTTCTGAAAGAAATTTGGGAGTTTTTGTGGATTGCAAATTAAATATTAGTAAATAGTGTTAATTAGTCAAGAAGTAGTTAAGTACTCACTACGTGCCAGGCACTGTAGTAAGTGCTGGGGATACAAAGAAAGGGATGGATGGCATTCAACAATGTCATCTTGGGTTGTGTTAAGAGAGGCTTCATGTCTAGAACTAGGTGGGTCCTATTGTTATGTGTCCTTGTCAGACCAGCCCTGAAACATGACATTCAGTTCTGGGGAAGGACATTGATAAACTAGAGAGTAAGCAAAGTTGGGAAACCAGGGCAGTGAAAGATTCAAGTTTATGTTATGTCAGGATGAGTTGAAGGAACTAAGGGTGATTATACTTCAAAAGAAAAAACTTAAAGGAGACATGTCCTCAAGTATTTAAAGAGCCATCATGTAGGACAGGGTTTCTACTTGTTCTGCTTGGCCCTAGGATATGGAACTAGGAGCCATGGATTGAATGATTCTGTAGGTTTCTCATTCCCTTTTTGTTTTCAAAGCTCTTTGTGAAACTGGCCACTTCAAAGACTGCTGCAGAAGACTCTGGTGAGTAGGGTTATCTTTATAATCACATTTATTAAGTATTTAGTATGTGCTATATATACTATGTATGGTAGGTACCAGTGATATAAATTCAAAAGTAAAACAGTCTCTGCCCTTAAGTAGCTTGTGTTCTACTGGGGTTTGGGGTTGTATACAACATATTCATAGGTAAGTAAATACAGGATACACACACACACACACACACACACACACACACACGTGCGCTAGACAATAACGTATTAGGAGAGGACAGTAACAACTGGAGAAATCTCGTAATGAATGTTATACACTTTTAATGGTTATAGGGCATTTTTTCTTTGCACTACCAATGCAACTCAAACATAGGATATTCTTTCCTCTGGCAAGTAAAATGAAGAAGTTGCCTTTGTTATTTGCTAAGCTAGGGTCCCCAGCCATTTTTAGTAAAAGGTTGGCTTTGAGTGTTTTTGAAATAAACAGGATCCTGGGAAAAGGAAAAGAGCTATTGGAATGAGCCCTGGATGATGAACTTTGAACCTATAGAAGCCCAGGGAAAAAGCACTGTATTTGGACACTGAGAACCCGCATTAGAATCCCAACTATGCCACTTACTACCAATGTTACCTTGGGCAAGTCATTTTCCCCTTGCTGGGCTTCAGTTTTCTCATCTACAAAATGAGTGGGTTTGAAATAGATGGACTTTATGATCCTGTCCTCTGCAAGCAGGGTAGTATGGTCAGAGGCTGACAGAGTATCTCCTTCCCTTGGGTACCTTGGTGTTTCAAGTGGCGTGCTTCAGTGAGGGGAACAACTTCATGTCACGCTGCACTCTGTAAAGTTTGTCATTGTCCGGGACAGGAGTGTTGTGGTAGCTGCTTTATGATTCTTCTACTGGGGAGCCCTGCTTATAACACGATACAAAGGAGAATGTGTGTCAATCTACATGACTCTGCAGCTGGCATTGGGGGAGAAGTAGCCATGAACTGAGAACATGGGTTACACTGGTTCCAAGAACTCCCTGCTCATTGGTTTGCAGAGTTGTAGAATACTCAGCACACAAGATAGCAGACCCTATTCTTCTGATGCCTTGGCCTTCTCATTGCCTTTTTATATGGGAAGTGAGACGAAAGTACCTCTACAAAGGACTTCTCTGAACGCATTACTGACCATTTTATTTCTATGCAGAATTTATCGTAGTCACCTTCCCTATTAGATAAGTTTTCCTTGAAATATGTCTAGCTTTTTGTTGTTGTTGTTGTTGTTGTTGTTCATGGCTTTCAGATCATCTAATGATTCTTAAATGATCTCTCCTTGATCTGTTTTCTAGGTCAGTTGTTTTTCCTATGAGATACTTCACGTATTTTTTCTTTTTTTTATTCCTTAATTTTTTTGTTTTATTGTTTCTTGATATCTCATGGAGTCATTAGTTTTCACTTGGCCAATTCTAATTTTTAAGGAGTTATGTTCTTCAGTGAAATTTTGTGCCTTTTACCAAGCTATTCTCTTGTCACAATTTTCTTGTGTGGTTCTCATTTCTTTTCCCAGTTTTTTCTCTACCACCCTTATTTGATCTTTAAAACCTTTTTTTTTTTGCTTTAAAAAACCTCTTTATTTCTTCTAGGAATTATTATTGGCTTGTATCCAATCTGCATTTTTCTTTGAGGCTTTGTTTGTAGATATTTTCAAGTCATTGTCTTCTTCTGTGCTTGTCTTGAACTTTACTGTCACTATAGTTGCTTTTTATGGTCAGGGTTTTTTTACTCACTTTTGCAACCTATTTCTTGACTTTGGACTTATTAGTGCTTGGGTCTGCCCAGTTCTCAGGGGTTATCTAGCTGAGCTTCAGTCTTTTTAGGTCTTTTGGCTGCTTTCACAGCTCATTCTGGGGGCCTGTACTTTTTTGGTGTTTCCAAAGTGATGTGATCTAGGATGAGATCTGTTCACTGCTTCCTGGTCTATACTCTACAAGTTCATGATCTGGTTTGGCTCTGTTGGATTTTGTGTGGTTGAATTTCTGTTGACTACTGCTAGACTCAGTCACAGTTCACCTGCTAGAAGGTTCTGCAGGCTCATAGCAACTCAACTGATGGCTCCCCCTTGGTTTTCCTCTCTTGCCCTGATTATTTCCACTGCAGGATTAGGTGTAAGAATAAAAGTAGAACCGAGTTCCCACTCTATTCTTGGGCGCTAACTCACACAACTATGTTTCTGGAACTTGTTTTTTGCTCCTTACGCAAGTAGTGTCCTCTGCTCCCTCTGTGACCCAGTAATGGGTCATGGGCAACAGAGTTGCCAGATGCTGCTGTTCCTGCTCCAAGTGCTAGTAATGTGGTTCCCTGGGATCTTTTTTCCCTAGGTGCTTCTTGCCCTGATGTTCTTTTTTTTTCTTATTAATTTATTTATTTTTAGTTTTCAACATTCATTTCCACAAGATTTTGAGTTCCAAATTTTCTTCCCATCTTGCCCCTCCCCCCACTCCAAGATGGCATGCATTCTGAATACCCCTGTCCCTAATCTGCCCTCCCTTCTATTCCCCCCCCCTTATCCCCTTCCCCTTCTATTTTCCTGTAAGGCAAGATAGATTTCTATACCCCATTGCCTGTATATCTTATTTCCAAGTTGCATGTGAAAATAATTTTTAACATTTGTTTTTAAAACTTTGGGTTCCAAATTCTCTCCCTTCCTCCCTCCCCATCCACCTTCATTGAGAAGGCAAGCAACTTGATACAGGTTATACATATGTAGTCATGCAAAACACTTCCATAGTAGTCATGTTGTGAAAAACTAACTATATATTCCTTCATTCTATCCCACCCCCCATTTATTCTATTCTCTCTTTTGACCCTGTCCCTCCTTAGAAGAGTTTGCTTCTGATTGCCCCCTCCTCTCTATCATCCTCCTGCTCTCTTATCTTCTTCCCCACTATTTTCCTGTAGGGTAAGGTAGATTTCCATACTCATTTGTATGGTATACCCTCCTTAAGCCAAATCCAATGAGAATAAGATTCACTTTCCCTCTCACCTTCCCCCATTTCCCCTCCACTGTAAAAGCCTTATCTTGTCTATTTTATGTGAGATGATTTACCCCATTCTACCTATCCCTTTCTCCTTCTCCCAGTATAATCCTCTCTCACCCCTTAATTTTATTCTCCAGCTATCACCCCTCCATCTTCAACTCACCCTGTGCCCTTTATCTATCTATCTCTATCTCTATATCTAACTATATACATATACATATAATTTTTCCCCTCCAATTACCCTAATACTGACAAAGGTCTCATGAGTTACAAATATCATCTTTCCATGTAAGAATGTAAACAGTTCAACCTTAATAAGTCCCTTATGATTTCTCTTTCCTGTTTACCTCTTCATGCTTCTCTTGAGTCTTGTATTTGAAAGTCAAATTTTCCATCCAGCTCTGGTCTTTTCATCAAGAATGCTTGAAAGTCCTCTATTTCACTGAATATCCATTTTTTTTATTATGAAATATTACCATCTTGATCATAAAAAAGGTTTACTTGAGCACAATGATCTTTGATTTTTCAAGACTGACAGAATAGGATTATTCAGCCCAGAAAGACTGGTAGGTAACAGGTCCACCAGCAATTACAGAGGGAGCTGAGCTAGATACCACTTTAAGGACAAAAGAAGCCCTGCACAAACTGATGATAATGGAGCAGGATTAAGGTTATTAGTAGAAACATCTGTAAAAGTAGCAGGAAAAGCATATAATACTACTCTTATTTCCCCAGTATAACCATGAGGCCACGAAGTGATTGTGAGCTTTTACCCAGTATAAGTCCTACAATTCTAGGAGAAAGTGGACCGTGTACACCTGTGGGAATGGAAACTACTTCACTATAGATTTCCTTAGGTATAATAGAGCTTAAATCCAATCCTGCACTGCCAGAGGTAGCATGTATAAGATCAAGCACAGTGCTTATTGTGGAGTTGGAGCTGGCCTGGGGTGTATAAGAGACAGCACAGCTCCTATTGTTTGCTGGGCCAGAATGGGCCCCGCTGGGGTCTTAAGGGTTGCCCATCAATATCAGTAGAAGATCTACATTGAGAAGCCCAATGATTACCATTGCGACATTTGGGACAGGGCGTACTGGGAGAATTTTGTGGTATCCTTTTGGGTGTCTTACACTCTCTTTTTAGGTGACCTGGTTTCCCACAATTAAAACATTTTTGTGTTCATTGAAGCTTTTTGACATTATTAAAGGCAGCTGCTGTGACTTGTGGTTGGAAATGTGTGGTTCCTCTTACTCTTTTTTTCTCTGCTTTTATAATTGCTTCCTCTAATAACCCTTTACAATGTATTTTATGGCTTTTTTGATTTTTATTCATCTCCTCACTATCTTCTCTGTATGAGCCTGATCTATATGAAGGTGGGGATCTTAATGGTGCAGAAGGTGTGATAGGTCTTGCATATATAACCTCCTCCCCCTCCTCTTCTGCAGTTCTAAGCTTCTCATCAAGTACTCTATTCATCTCTTCTTCTTCCTCTGTTCCCGCCCCCACATCTGCCTTAAGTACTTTTGTTGTTAATAGCACTTTCTCTGGAGGAGTGAGACTATTTTAGCACATTCTGAATTGAGAATGTAGCTATGGAGAATGTGCCTGGACTACTTCTCTATAGTACTCACTCATTTGTCGGCCCACCATTTCCCATGTTTCCAAGTCTATTGTTCCTTCTTGAGGGAACCACGGGCAGCATATTTCTACATATTCCAAAAATTCCTGTAACTGACCATCTGTAATGACTAAACCTCTTTCTTTCACTATTTTCTTGGAAAGTTTTAGATAATATTCTCTGTCCTTGCTTCCACTTTGTGTTTGACCCATACTTTCAATCTCAGGCATGTCTCCCAAAACCGAAAGTAAGTGCATGTGGCCATTCCAAAGCAACACTATTCTTATGCTCGAGCCCTTTTTCTTTTCTTTTCCCCATATCCCCACTTTAGCCTGGTGTCCTTTTAGCCCTAAAATTGCCAAAAGATTGGGTCTTGTGACCTTTGCTCTTTTACCTTGTTTCCACGGTGTTGAGCCGCCAAGGTTTTTCTTTTCTCCCGAGTCCCAAGAGCGTCACTCCCCTCATACCTTCTTAGGTCCCTGTGCAGGCACCACCTGCCGCCTGATCAGGCACTCAATCCCCTGTCTGTGGGCTGTCATCCAAGACTAAGTGTTGCATCAAATGGAGAAGTGTGCAATGAAGAAACGTGGGCCAGGCAGGTCAGTGAAAGACTGAGCCATTTCTTATTCTGAGGGTCTGGGTTATATAGTGAAAGCTAACAATCACCCGAGGTGTTCCCACAATTCTTATGTGACTAATCCCAGCCCTTATGCACATCCTTAATTGTTCACACCTGTTTGCCATCAAGGTTCAAGTGGCAGAGTGTTCTAACACCTCACAAGGCATGGGAAATTGGTGAGCCAAATATTCTGAATAAGTAAGCCCTTATGGGTAGGAAAAGGAAAGAGTCAAGTTCTAACCTAAATTCCTTATCCCATATTAGACTCTTCAGCTCTGGCCCTCAACAGTGGGCCAAGAGCTCAGGAGGCAGTCGCTGCCACCACTGCCCCAGGGCTACGCTCGGGCCAAGACTGGACAATGCTCCTTTCTCACCCAGGTCCAACAGACCTTTCCCACTGACCTTATAAGTTGTCTTTTGCATTTGTGAGTTGAGAAGTCTGAAAACCACCACGGCTGCCTGTAATTCAGTCCCCGAGGTCCACGCTGAACTATGCCCCTCTCCCAGCCATAGGTGCAATAGGCCTTTCCAATCAACCCTCCAGGTTGTCTTGGACTGCAAATTTGTTTCACTCTGTCTTTTTGTGGGTTCTGCTGCTCTAGAATTTGTTAAGAGCCATTTTTATAGGTATTTGAAGAGGTTTAGGGGAGAGCTCAAGCAAGTCATTGCTTTTACTCCACCATCTTGGCTCCGCCCCGCCTCTTCCCTGATGTTCTTCTTACCATCCATGGGTGCTGGAACACTCCTCCATGGCTGCTGCCAACCCCACCCTTCCCCCCATGTTACTGCTGTTGCCTTACAATACTAGCCAAGCCACACTCTACTGTCTGCAGACCTTTCTGTCTCTCTCCTTTCCTTGAGCTGGAAAAATGACTCACTATGACTTCTTCTTGGCTTTCCCAACCAGAATTTGGTCTGACAAGCTTTCTAGTTCATTATGGAGAAGGTTGTGGAGGAGCTAAGGCAAAAAATCTTTCTTTTTTTTTCAGTTTTTTTTTTTGGCTAGGCAATGGGGTTAAGTGACTTGCCTACGGTCACACAGCTAGTAAGTGTTATGTGTCTGAGGCCAAATTTGAACTCAGATCCTCTTGAGTTGAGCTCTGCTAATTACCTCTGTTTCTATGCTTGTGTGGTGCAGTGGATTCAGCCTTAGACACTTACTTGTTGTGTGACCCTGAACAAATCACCTAAACCTCTATTTGCATCAGCTTCCTCATCTGTAAAAAAAGGGATAATAATAGCACTTACTACTCAGTTGTTGTAAGGATCAAATAAGATAATATTTGTAAACTGCACAGTGCCTGGAACATAGTAGACGTTTATTAAATGCTTATTTCCTTCCCCTCCCTCTTATCACCAAAAGTGCTGATGAGAAATGTAGTTTTTCACAGATGGAAGGAAGGGCTGAAGTATCATGAGAGGTTGAAGTTGGGCAGGATGGGGAAAGTCTGATAACTTTTGAACTCCACTGAGAAAGGAGCCTATGGGTGCAGACATGTACCAGCAATGAGCTAATTGCAAGGGAAGGTCATTGCTACCCCTGAACTGACTGTAATCCTGAGCACTTTGAGCATTACCTGGCTTACTGACCCATTTAAGGAAAGATATACCTAGGTAGAATTTTGTGCTTTCCTTGACTGCCACTGTTACTACAACCTGATAAATTTTCCCTTTTCTCATTTCATCCCCCTGCTCTGCCTCATAGTTACATGGAGAATTGGCCTTGCTTACCCTTGGGAGTTTCCAACTCTCTTTAAACTATATTTGTTGTATATACTTTTATAGTGGGTTTATCTCCAATTAATTAAGTTGATTATTATTGCATTCTTAGAAACTGTTTGCCATAAAGGGGTGGACCATACAATGAGGAAGGGAAAAAGGGAACCCATGGACTCAATAGAATTAACTTTGGTCATATATTAAGCTGTACTCTTCCTTCCTTCCTCCTTTTCCCACTCTTGTTCCACAAAAGGGCTTCCCTTGGAAAAGGAGGCTGCTGATGGCTTCCACTTCCCAATTTCACAGGGAGCCCATGAGGATGAAAGAGATAATGATGTCCACAATATATTTAGCATTCTTTGGAGAATGACAGTACTGCAGCTAAACAGGAAGAATTTCTAATTTCTTCCTTCCTTCCTTCCTTCCTTCCTTCCTTCCTTCCTTCCTTCCTTCCTTCCTTCCTTCCTTCCTTCCTTCCTTCCTTCCTTCCTTCCTTTCAACAGAATCCTCATCTTTTGTCTTGCTAATTTCCATTTCTCTTGCAGACAAAACATACTTATTGAACATCAATTTGCTGGAGAAGATAAGAGAAGACTGGCAGGGTGAACACAGCAAAGCCTGTGAGGTAAATCTGTCAAGAAATTGCTTGGGATGGGAGGAGCTGCCTTGGAAAACTAACATATATGCAAGCAGAGGCTTTTCTCTACAATGACAGACATTGCAATTGTCATAGAACTGTAAGGTATAGAGGTTGGAAAAGGACCTTATCAGTCATATAGGATGATTGTCTAGATGCCTCTCACTGACTTTGTTTTGAGAGATGATATAGAGGACCAGAGAGAGGATAGGACTTGCCCAAGGTCTCAAAAGTGGAAGAATTTGGACTAGATTTCAAATTTCTTTATTCCCAGTTCTTTCTGCTTAAACTTTCAGGATATTAAGGTGACTAAAACCTGACTTTCTGTTTTCAAATTTTTCCCCTTCAATCTCTAACATTTCTTAGAACATATTCCTTTGTTTTTAATTATATTCAGGATTTTTGAATAGAGTTGATTCTCAATCATTCACAGCAAAGGAAGGGATTGAAGCTTTGGTGCCGGTAAATACCAAACAGCAGCTAATCCAAAAGTAATTTCTATTTATTCTGGGAATGTATGTAAACAAACATACATGCATACATGCATAAACATATATGTACTACATACACACATGCAAATGTGTGTATAGGTTGCCTTTGAAGACAAGAGGACCTAGCATCAAGTCTGCCATGACTCATACTGCTGAGCTAGTGATTTGCATCTATAGAGGGAGTTTACATACCTGAAGTTTCCCCAAAGCAAGAAAATCACAGGTCCAGGCATCTTTTTCTCAATTTAGAAGATTTTGATATATTATGCAGTTGGTTCAGTTGTGTCCAAGTCTTTGTGACCCCGTTTGGAGTTTTTTTTGGCAAAGATAATGGATTGGCTTGCCATTCCTTTCTCCAACTCACTTTAAAGATGAGGAACTGAGGCAAACAGGGTTAAGTAAGTGACTTGCTCAGGTTCACCTAGCTAGTAAGTGTCTAGAGGCCAGATTTGAACTCATGAAGATGAGTCTTCCTGATTTCAGGCCCAGTACTCTATCCACTGTGCCACCTAGCTGCCCACATATTGATACTCTATAGATGTAGATATAAAACGAACTATATATTTATGTCTATATGCCTATCTCTATCTATTTATCTATCTATCTACTTCCTACTTATCTATTGGTATATATGCTAAGAGGCAGCTAGGAAGTGCAGTGGATAGAGTGCTGGGCCTAGGTTCAGAAAGACCCGAGTTCCCAACTCAAACCCTCACTAGCTGTATTACCTTGGGGAAGTCACTTAATCTTAGTTAAGTTTGCCTTAGTTTCCTCAATTGTAAAATGAGAAAAATAATAGTACCCACTTCCCAGGGTTTTTGTGAGGATCAAATGAAATAACATTTGTAAAGCATTTAGCACAATGCCTGGCACATAATAGGCACTATATAAATACTAGCTGTTGTCATCACCACCACCATCATCATTATCATATTAGGAATATAAATTGGCTACCTAGATTTTTAGAATAGTTTCCCTCCTACCCCTCCAAGTCTCGACCATGCCTTCAGTTCTGATCAAACCTTCCATCAGCCATCTAACATTTGTGGAGGTGGGAGAAAAAGGAAAGACTATAAAAGGAATTCAAGAGATAGTAAGTAAAGGTTTTATGGGAAAGGAAGGCAAAGTAGTTGTTTAGATCAATTTATACTCATTCAAAATAAAAAAAATATTTGAATTTGTATTGTAAACTTTTAAAATGTCTTTCATATGCATTCTCATTATATCCTTAGAACAACCCTGTGAGGTACATAGGCCAGGTGATGTTTTCCACATTAAGGCAGAGGGTGAAGAAGCATATTTTTCCAAGTCGCATAACATCAGTGGCTAAGCCAACACTATAATCCAAATCATCTGGCCTATTCCAAAGTTGTTTTTTTTTTTACCACATCCCATTGCCTCTTAAAAGTTGGGGTAGGTGGGTGAAATTAATTCTACTAAAATAAAAATAGCTGGAGTTTTAGATCCTTCCCTCCTCACACTGTTTCTGATTATAATTGTTATTAAAATTAATTTTCATTTTCCCAGTACATAACCAAACAGTAGTAGGGAGTTGACCTCGGAGTTTACTGGGTGATGGAAGAAAGCCAGTTTGGATTTAATACACAAATTAGGCAATGCACATTGATCACTGTTGTTTGTATTCCTTAAGTCACTGCCGATCTAAAGACTACATCACACCATACCCTTTCTCTACATAAATGTATACATTAATTTATATCTCTTTAGTTCTTTGAGATTCAAGAATGTGAACGAATAAACTATTTCCGGAATGCGTTGTGGCAACACATGAATCAACTCTCACTTCAATGTGTCATAAGTGATGAGGTAAGCAGTCCAGCATCATTTCCAGACCTGTTAGGTAGATATTGTACTAAGTTATGGAATCTTAGAACTGCAAGCATGGTGAAGTAGAAAGACAGCTGGATTTGTAGTCAAAAGACCTGAGTTGAAGTTCTGGCCTTTTACTTACCTGTAAGTCCTTGGGCAAGTTAAGTAGACTCTTTGGGCTTCAGTTTCATTATATGCAAAAAGACAGGAGATCACACCCAATGACTAACCTCTAAGGTGCCTTCTAGTTCTAGATCTCCTATCCTATGGAAGATAATTTAGAGGTCATCTAGTCTAGGCATTCATTTTACAGATGAGGAAACTGAGGCCCAGAAAAGGGAAGTGACTTGTTTATACTTATATACTTGTATAACCTAAATTAGAATCAAGATCTTTTGTCTCCTAGCCTAATGCTCCTATCTGAAGATATCTTCAGCTATAGATAGTATTCAATTGTCTAAGTTTTTTCTTTGTAAACTTAATAAGCATCAACAAAAACAAAGAAGCATTCAAAATAAGTAATAAAATCATGAATAAAACTATAAACATACTATCTCTTACATTGTAACAAAGAGCACAGCAAATTAACAAACGCATGCCTGAAAAGAGAAATATGGTCATTGTCTCTTTCATTCCCTGATCTTTAAAGTGAAGAGGAACCTTGAAGTCTGGACATTGAAGTATCTAAACAGCCAGGGGATCATTTAAGGGAAGTTTGTTTATTTGAAATGTATCCCAAGCTCTCCTTACATGAGGTAGATTTGTCAAAGACTGGAAACTCTGAAATGGGGGTTGTTGCCACTCTTGTAAGCACAGCTCTGTTTAGGGTGTCAGGCTATGAAGGAACTTTAAATTCAGATATTAGGTACTAGGCTATAAAACTTGTATTTGCCATGACATCTCCCTTGCCTCTTGGCCTTTTATTGTGGTCTGGGGACCTGATCCCTCTGGCTTGGAAATCTGACCGTAGCACCCATGAAGTGCATTGTACTCTGCTAGGTATCTCAGAGCACACAAAGGATCATGATGCAGAGCTGCTGCCTTGAAAGAATTGGCTGGGGAAATGAGACACATATACACAGAAAGTTAAATAAAAATATGAAAGTTCCATAACATTGTAAGACAACAGCACCAGAGATGTCACAAGGCATGGGGAGAGCAAGGGCCAAATAAATAAATGCCTTCTAGCTATAGTTCGTAAAATGTAGTCTGGGGATCCAAAGGGCCTCCAAGACCCTGTTAGGGGTTCCATAGAGTAAAACTTACTTTCATAATAATGCTAAAATGTTTTAATTTCTAATACTGTAAATGTTGATAGACATAACTCACATAAACAAAAGCTCCTTGGGGTCTTCAATAATTTTTAAGAGAGTAAAGGGGTCCTAAGATCAAAAAGTTTAAGAACTGATGGCTTAGAGCAATAGATGTTATGAATTCACTATGAAGAAGAAAATGCCATTGAGAGACAACTCTACCTCTGAAGATTAGCTCAGGGTCCAGATCACTCTTAGGAGGTTTAGGCCCAGGGCAGAGAGGCCAGGTTTGGTTAGATTCTGTCGGCAACATGGTCAAGTCCTAAAAAGGTTCCATTTTGGTCTAGAAGATCTGTAATGGCTACTGAGTAGCCTTAAGCAGACTTGAGCCTCTTGGACAGTCTCAGAATGACTCTAGTTTTCCATTGACAACATTGACAACTATAGATTGGATATCAGTGCAGAATTAGACCAGGATGGATTCTCTCTGCCCTGCTTCTCTCCTTATCTAGTGCACGGATCATGGATCTCAAGCTGGAAGGGACCTTAGAGCCCATCTAGTCCAAACCTCTCATTTTATAGATGAAGATACTATGGTGAGAAGTAAGTGATTTGTTGACGGTTTCACAGCAAGCGTCAGGGGCAGGATTTGAAGAATACAGGTATTCCTGAAATTCTAGACCTGCCATCTAATAGAGAAAAAACTTTTGGTCCCAGTTTTCTCTGGATTGACACCAGGCTTAACCTGAATGTTCCTTACTGGCCATAAAATCATCCTTCTGATCAGTAATGCAATAGCCTCAATTATATTAGGCACAATGAAGAAGGGCTTTGTGAATGAAGAGAAGGGTACTAATACGAGAGAGGTTTGGGGAAGGTACAAACAACATAATTTGTCAATTGATTGGGTATATGGGGTGAATGATAGTGAAGAAATAAGCCTGACACTAAAGTTGAGAACCTGCATGGTGAGAAGAATGGTAGTGCCCTCAATAGAAAGAGGAAAATTGAGGAGTGAGGTGAGTTTAGGGTGAGTGGGTAATACATTTTGTTAGAGAGAAAATTTCAGAGTTCAAGATCTTTGATGAAGCCTTTGTCCAGTGATGTTCATGTTTTAGGTTGTGCTGATGAGTGGTTCAATTAGAGTAGTGAATTGAGGTCATAGAGATAGGATGGAAATTTTTATTTCAAAGTAAAATTATAATAAAATTTTTGTGTCAATTGATATACTTGGTCCTTGTAGGGTTAAGGAACTGTGAGACTAATATAATAGAAAGGTCATTACCATTGACATTGAAACATGTTACCAAGTCATCCTCTTTTTTTAAAAACAAAATCCGGAAAGAAATACCAGTTATTTAGTGAATCTCCTATGTGAATGAATAGTGTCACTGCTGATGGAGTTACTGGGCCTTTTGATTTATCTGCTTCTCTTTTACTAGATGTTTGAAGAAGTCCGTAAAAGTTTAGAAATGTGTAGCATTGAAAGGGACATTGACTATTTTGTAGCTCAGAGAAGGACTGGACAAGTGCCACCAGGTAAGTGGTTCAATGGGGGTTATTGAAGCAGTTCTACGAGCATGCCTTTTGTGCATCCTGTGTTTATTTTGGAGAACTGCCCTTTAACATTCTATTTCTTGATGACTTTTACAGCACCTATATTGTATGAGAATTTCTATAACTCCCAGAAAAATCCAGTACCAGGACGAAATTCATTACCTAATGTGGGAAGGTAATAATGGACTAGTTGCTCTTCTCTTGCTTTGGAGATAAATCATTTCTTAAAAACTTATTTATACTGATATCTTTTGTTTCCATATACCCTCATTTACAAATATATCTCTCTCCCTTTCCTGCCCAGTGAAACATCACTTGTAACAATGTTTAAAAAGGGAAGAAGGGGGAAAAAGTTCAGCAAACCCAATCAACACATCAACTATGTCTGACAGTATGTGTAGTACCCCCTACCTCTGCAAAGAGCAGAGGGAGGTATGTGTGGCAAAGCTTGATCATCATAATTACACAGCTTTCAGCTTTGTTTTTGTTTTTGAAAAAAAAATTGTAACAAACTTTTTCCCTCTTAATTTCTTAAGGCAGATTTAAATTGATAACTTACCCCCTATATTCTCTAGGTGACATTACTAGAGATTTAGCCATGGGGCATTTAGACATTAAGGTATGAAATAAGAAAGAGGTTCAATAATTTCGCTGTTCCCTTCAAACTTAGTTCAGGTAGAACTATAAAAGATACTTCAACTTCAGGTAACTATTGTTATGCATTTAATGAATGCTCAAATATTCAAATGTACATGTGATTCATTGATTTGGGAGTTCCTTTCAGCAATGTAGATTGCAGCCCATGTGTGCCTGCCTATCCTGTGCAGATTTTATGTCTGTCTTCCCATATATTTCCTACAATAACCCTACCCAATGGAATAGAGGCATTCTTCACTTTCTCCTGACATCACAAGGGTACTGGTAGAGAACTCTTGCTGTCTTTTCACCTGTTATCTTCTCTCATTCTTGTCTCATGACCTGACCATCCTTTCATCTTATCATACATTTTCTTGATGACATCCTTTATGCCTGTTCTTCTTCAGAATTCCTCCTTGGTTATACTTTCAGGCTGCCCACCCCCACTCTGCACCTTTTCATTTCCTTCTGTGTAATATTCATTTTTAACTCTTTGAGGATAGCTATTTCCTGTCTTGCTGTAGTATAGCAACACTGGTTAGATCTTGGTATTAAAAAGATGGGCTTTTGTTTTAATTATGTAATTATGAATAGGATAACTTTTTATCATTACATGTCAGAAAAGAAATCAGAATTCTAGAAAGTACACAAATGTGTCCAGTGTCTGACAGGAGGTCAGGTATGGAGTGCAGTATATCCAAATCTCTAAAGTCTTAGTTTCATTTCAATTGAGTTCTGAGGGCTCCTGATCCATGCTGGGCTAAGGGTAGTCACAGCATTAACATATGAAGCATAGGTTCTGGCGGAGCTGTGCTGCATGTTGGATATTTTGTTTAAAGTCTTATTGAAGACCTCAAACCAAAAACCAAAACTGATACTGAATGAGGAAAGTGGAGGCTTATTGTAACATAGAATATAACAGGATTAACATAATCCAAAGAGAGAATGACATTTAATTTTCATCTCTTTTGCAGGAGAGGACCTCTACCAATTCCTCAAAATGTATCAGGTATGTCAGGATAATTCCTTTTTAAATACTTGAATTAAATTCTCTGTAAGGTTGGTTATTTTGAATTTGGCAAAGCAAAGGGAACAAGGACCTAGTTTGTGAATTGGTTACATGAATGAAAATAAGCTTGTAACCCTGCTATAACACTATTTATGAGAATAGGGTATATGTTTATGGCAGATCTATTTTTGTTGTCCAGACAGAGATTTAGTTACTGAAGTGACCAAAGGAACTTCTTCTCAGGCAGTTTCCTCTATGAGCTACCATAAGGACAGTACAATTCTGGGGTAGTTTCCTTTGGATTATGTCCAAGGAGGGTAAATAAAGAGCCTGGGCCAGCTTATATAGGAGGCAGATGTTCAAAAATGAATCAATTATGCACAGATTTGTTTGCTTAGTCATGAAGAAATTAAGTCTGATTGTCACAGGACATTGGGCTGATTTTTCACCTTCCCCCTCCCTTGTTTGAACCCTCCTGAATTAACTTACAGTTTAGACCTTAATTAATTGTTTTCTGAATGTTTCTTGTGTGTGGGTTTTGTGTTGTTTAAATAAGATTTTAACAGTATTTCACAGTAATTCCATCACAGTGTTCAGTACTGCCTTAGAGATAAAAACATCAGATTGTGAGCCCTTTGAAGGCTGATACTGCATCTTTTCTTCTTCCACAATGGTTTTGCATAGGGTGGGAAGTTCATAATTCTGGGTCTTGTATTCAAGGAGTTCCAAATCTATTAAACTATATTATTATCCAGTCCGCATCTATACATCTTCTCCACAAAGAGAGACTTGGTTAAATGCTTTCCAGGAATCCAGGCATACTATGTCTACAACATTAATCTGCTCTCTGCCCGTCTAGTAACCTTATTATAAAGAAGGAAATGAGTTTAGTTTTGCATGGCCTGTTTTTGATGGACTTATGCTAATTCTTAGTGATCACTGTTTTCTTTTCAAAATGCCTTAAAGAAGGTCTTTTTAATAATGTCCCCAAATTTTCCCAGAATTTGAATTCCAGTTTAACAGTTTATAGTTTAAAGAATTCACCTAGCATTAAAAAATTTGGGACATTTGTTCATCTCCATTTCTTCCTTTACAATTCACATTTCACAACATCAGCTCAGCAATCTGATCGTCTCTTTTGTGTAACTCAGGGATGCGACTGTTCTATATATCTCATAAGACTGTTCTGAGAAGAGCTCTTTGTAAAACTTAAAGTGTAATGTGTAAGTTATTAGTTTTGTCTTACCTTGTATTCTTTCTCTTTCACAGAGGATGATGATTACTCTTTGGTGACTGAATGCAATATTATCTCTAACTAGTACCAACAGTAAGAGCCTTTATTCCAGTCTGATATTACTTTAGGCAAATTGTAGTTGTGGAGCCTTTTTTTGCCATTGATAAACATACTGAATTACTTCTGGGTGCATGCGCTATTTAGGGGAATACAGAGAATGCATGATAAAATGGAGAGAGCATAGATCTTGAACCCCTAAACCTGAGTTTTAAGTCCTAGCTCTGACACTAGATGAGTGACCTTGGGTAAGATACTTTACTTCTGACCATCAATTTGCTTCACTGGTAAAATGAGGATAACAATACTTGTGCTACTTACTTCACAGGGTTGTTGTGAGGAAAAGGCTTTGTAGACCATAAACTGAGTTATTATCATAATGCTAACTTATATTATACAAGTATTAATTTTTATTTCTATCCTGATAGGAACTGTGTTGAATTGGATAAAAGCCTGGCCTTAGAGTCAGGAAGACCTGGTTTTAATGTTGCTTCTGATGCATATAAGCTGTATGACCCTGGGCAAGTCACTTAACTTCCTGTCCCAGACAATTCTCTAAGGAAACTGCCAGTTGGAATGATGGAAGGAACTCCATACTTGGAGTTCTCTGGTGAAATCAAGAGATCTGTATTCAGACCCTCTCACACTACCCTGCAAAAGAAAAAAAGCCCAAACCTTTTATCCCAAGCTTACCTTTAATTCTCATGTTTAGGCAGATTTTCCTCCATCTGATATTGGTGATGTTGATTCTTTTAATCTCTCTCATTTTTGTTGGTTCATAGTATTTCTTGTATAGTTCTAGAAAATAATTATATTTTATTAAATTATATATGCATAGTGCTTGGTACATAGTAGGTGCTTAATAAATGCTTGTTGATGGAATGACTCAGTTTAGCACTTGATTCTCTGGGTTGTTTCATTTCCTACTATTTTCTGTTTCTTTATCTTCTCTTCTCAAATAGATGATAAGTTATGAGGGAAGCCACAGTGCTGGGCATAGGGGGATACAAAAATTAGAATGCCCAGCAATTTCATAAATAGAGGGGTTCAATAAATATTAATAAGAGAATCTGTTTCATGGTATCTTAAAGCAGGGAAATTAGTTCAGTTAACATTTGCACATGGAAACAATTTTAATGAATGTTTAAGAAGGGTTTGAACAAACTCTTTAGCCTTAGAATAAAAGAACAATATATAAACCCATTGTTTTTATTTGTTATGCACTTCATCTGGCCTGCTCATCTCTATTTCTTTAGTTGTAATATTTACTATGCAAATAACAACAAAATCTGGCCTGAGGATTAAAATAAATCTCAATTATCCATTTTTTTTTGGGGGGGGAACATGGTCAATATAAGAATCTGTTTTGCTTGGCTACAAATGTTTGTAATGTTTTTGTTTTTCTTGATTTCCCAGTGGTAACTCTGGGAGGAGGCAGAGAAGGTGGATTTTATTTGAAAAACTATTTAATTAAATTTTATAAAAATATAAGAAAATTTTTAAAAAGCAGCTATCAAAAGATGACAAAAGATGGGAATAGTCAGTATTGGAGAGGGTATGGGAAGAGAGGAGCATTAGTACATGGTTGGAAGAGGCATTAGAAAAAAACAAATAATCTCAATTTCCATAAAACATTGTCATTATCAACAGCAAGATTTAGCTCAGGGCTATGTACATAGAGGAGACTAATAACTCAATTCAAATAGTTGAATAGTATAGAAAATTATATTTATCATTCTGTGTACTTGCTCCCTGCAATTTCCTTTCCTCTCTTGGAAAATATACTTTTTTTTTGCCTCTACATATATGTGAACTCGAATACACATAGCGTCCTACATACACATGCACACATACTCTTAGTCATCTCATACCAAAAGCTGGTCATCCATGATCGTTCTCCTCTAATAGATTGTGATTTGCTATCCTCTTTCAGGAATTGAAGACTCTCAACCTGATGCTTCTTTGACTGTACAAGGAGTCAATGTGGAATAGATTTGGCTGCCATTTTGTATTAGTCATGAAGACTCTGAAGTGAACTATTTCTTTTGTAACTTTTAATATTTTAAATTGGTGCAAAAGTTTTTGTTCTACTTGTCATGGATGGGTTGTGAAAGTTCCTTGAAGACTGTATAAGTTCCAGGCAAAAGAGATTCCTCTTCCTAATCGATGGTAGCAATTGTGGATAACATTTTGTTTTCTACTTGGAAACTATGAAATGTTTATAGAATTTGAGATCTGAATCTTCATGTAGTAGAAACATCAGAAGAAGGGTCATCAGTGTGAAAGCTCTTCTTGGTATTAGAGATAATTTTACTCAGAAAAAAAGAACTGTTTTCCTACAATGTTTTCAGTAATAGTATTATTTCATTAGTGGAGGAATAAGAATCTTAGAGTTAGAAAGGACTTTATAGATTATGTAAATCTTTTCACTTTCTAAATGAAGAAACTAAGGCCCCTGAGAGGTTATATGATTGTCCAAGGCACAGCAGCTAATAGTAAAGCTAAGATTAAGATATAGGCCTCCTGGTTTCCACTACACCTGTTTTCTCTTCCTCCCTTAAAGTGACCAGTAATACTACTGCTGAAATTTAAGCTAGTAAGTGTTTTGTCCAGGCTTCTTTACTGTTGAAAAAAATTTAGGGCTGGTTAGGAGCTATGATTTCATAAGTGAAGGCAATTTATGGTGTAGAAATTCTTTCTACTAATGTAGTTGAGAAACTCACTGGTAACTTGAAATCTTTGAAAAAAAATTGTTCGGGGTATTGAGCAATTAAGTGATTATCTTGTATTTGTCAAAGGCAGAATTTGAACCTAGCTCTTCCCAACTTTGAGGCCAGCCCTATATCTTTTATACTGCACTCTCTTTGTTGAGAATACCAACAACTAAAGTGTCATTCTTGTTTTTAAGATAGATCACTGATGAACAGTATGTAGTCTAGTTACTCTTCTTCATAATAAAAATTTTGTAGTTATGAAATCACTGCTGGCTGGGTTTTCTCAGGGAAAAAAAGTTTGTGTATGTGTATGTATACATATATATGTATATATGTATATATGCCCATCATATATCCACACATAAGTGGATGTTATACACACACACATACATATGTATGTATACACACCGTGTATCTAAGATATATATGTTTGTGTGTGGTTTAGTATATATACATATACATGTACACATACACTGGACTTTGGACATTCAGACATATGAACTCTATACTCCAAGTGATACTTTAGTAATCCTTCTGTGGTCCCAAGGGACCTGTGATCCTAAGGTACCTGTGGTACCCACATTGATAGTGGTATTGTCATATAACTTCTAGAAAACTTTAGCACCCTCAAGATGCTCAATAAATTTTAACCACCAACTTAAAATAAAATAGCATTTATATAAAACTTTTTTTCTTTAGCATGCTATAAATGTTCACACAAGGGACCCATGTTATTCTGTAAATTGTAAATCGATCCTCTAGCACTTTAGTGAATTAAACTGTTTGAAAGCAAACTGGATGCTTACTCTTTTCTTATGCAAGTGCCTAGTGGATTTGAGGGAGGTTAGGCCAGGAAAGTTGCAGAAATTGAATATCCTTTTGTGGTAATTTCAACATAGTAAAAATAGAGAAATTAAAGTATCATAAAGATCATCACTTTCTCAAACTAAAAAATGTCAGAAAATTTTCCTTTGTTGGGGAGCAATAAATAAAAAAAGTTTTATTTATTGTTGACTTCCTCAGGGATTTCACCTTTTTCTTTATCTATTGGAAGCATAATTATATGGAGGAATTGATTTAAAGGTTTGTAAGCTTTTAAGAAATGTTAAGAGCTCAATTCTTATTTTGCTTTCTTTGAAAGAAAATTAAATTCACTGCAGTAGTTCTTGATGTTTTGTGTGTATCTCTGAGGTTTTTTTTTCTTTTGCATTTTTCTTTCAAGGAAATTTTTCTTTTTTGATTCTGAACTATACTCATTTATTTCAAGAAATATTTATTAAGGGCCTGGTATGTGTAGAACAGTATGATAAGCACTGAGGAGCGCTGAAAGCACATACAAAGTTTACATAAGATACACTCTCTGCTCTTTGGAGCTTACACCCAATTGAAATTAAAATTATTCCTAGGCAGTAGAAAATGAAAATATCCTCTCCTCTTGAGGCCATTCAGGTATTGGAAGCCCCTAAAATATTTTAAATGAGTTAGAATCAGAGAAAGAAGAGCAGAAGTTACATAGGGTCATATGAGTAGAGAGAAAGGGTGTCACATAGGGGCAAAAGTGTTGAGCTTAAGAAGTACGGACAATGTTATTATTGTTGTTGCTGTTGTTGTTGTCCAAAATCTTTCTTCAAAGAGGCCCATGGCATCAGGAGGGTGATGTCTTGACTTGCAAGTGAATTGGATTTAAGTGAGGCAGGCTGTGCAAAGTCATCAGCTTTGCTTTCTCCTCCAGAGTCATCAAAGTCCAGTGGCAAGACATAAGTCAAGATGACTGGTGATGGCCCAACGATGTTATTAGATGGAAGTAGAGCAGACAACAACATGTCCACTTGTCCAAGTTATTTAACAGCCAAAGATGTAGCAAGTAGAAATGTTTGAATAATGGAGGGGCAGTGAGGATGAGGCAGGAGGGCAAGGAAAGAGAAAGTAGATTTAAATGTATTTCACTCCAATTTACCTTTCTTCAAAAGAGGAGACCATTAATATCTTGGACTTGAAAATTTGCCTACTGTTTTGCAAGGGTGACTAATTGTCTAAGGTATCTCAGGATTTTAGTGCTTGGAAAGATTTTACAGACAAGGAAACTGAGACCCAAGGAGGTGAACTGTATTGCCTAATGTCATACAAGTGGTAAAAGTAGCAGAGCCAAGTTTCTTAGCCAAGTCCTCTGACTACATACCTAGTGTTCTTCTTGCCATTATATCATAAGTTAGCTGATAAGAAGTCCTAGGACTAGACAGATTTCATAAGAAAATTGGCTTTTTGTCTAGAGCTGGCAGGAATCTCAGAGGATTCTTATTTTATAGATGAGGAAACAGTTAAAATGCCTCGTCCAAGGTTACACAGGTAGTAAAATGTAAGGTGAGATTTGAACCCAGGACTCTTGGGACTCCAGGTGTCCTTTTCATTTCACCACAGTCCAGTTACATTGTTTGTTCTTTCATATATTTATAAAGTACAATTGTTAATGAGGAATCAATCATTTATTAAATCATTATTGTTAGTCACTACTAAGCATTGGGAATACAAGAAAAGAAACACCAAGTCTCTCAGGAGCATACATTCTATCAGGGGAGACACATAAACATACAGAATATGCAAGGTAATGGGTGGGGTGAGGAACTAGTAAAGGAGATTAGAAAGGTGTGTAAGCATAGGTAGGAGGAGAACCAAGAGAGAGTGGAGTCATGAAAGCCAAAGGAGAATGTCTAGGAGGAGAGGATGGTCAACAGAGTTGAATGCTACAGAGATGCCAAGGATGGGCAGTGAGAAAAAGTCATTCAATTTCACAATTTAGAAATCATCGGTAACTTTAGAGAGAGCAATTTCAGTTGCTAATTTGGGCAGTCAGAATACAGAGGATTTAGAAGAAAGTAAGATGAGACAAAGTCTCAAAACACCAATTATAGACAGCTTTTTTGAGTTTAGGTGAGAAAGGGAAAAGAGATAAAGGAAGAGTGGAAGATTTATTGCTTGGTGTGGCACATGGGCTCTGGGCTCACTCTCCTAAATCCCAGCTAGAACTTGTGGGTCATGTCCCCATATTAGGGCTGCTACATTTCTCCTTAGAGTTCTCAGCGTCACCTGGAAGGTTGTGGGCTGGTCTTCTAATATTATTGCTCATAAGCCCTCATCCAGTATGTCCCTCTCCCCTCCAGATATCAATTGCCAATTAATATCTCCCCAATATTAATTCAACTAGGCCAATGAAGGCTTAGTCCTCCAATTACATTAGTATAGTGCTATGATGTTCAGTCTTATGTAGGAGGAAGAACATAGATTGGGAAAGCTGGATTCTAGTTCCACTTCTGTTATACTGGTGAAGTTGCTTGACCTACCCAAACTTTAGAATCCAGGCCTCATGTGTTTAAAACAAGACCTGTAAAGTCTTGTCAGTTCCTGGCACTCTGATATCTAGCACCGCCTTGCACATAGTTAGTCAGTCAGATAGCCAACTTAATGTTCGCTAAATTGAAATGAATTTAATTATATGATTTTCTTGTAGAATGAATAAGGTGGAAATAATATGATGTGGGAGCAAGAAAATGCCACTAGATGGCAACATAGGTTACTTGGAAACTGGTTTAGCAGGATTACAAGTGTAGAACTGGGTTTTCTTAAGATTTACAATATGAAAATTTGAGATGTATTATAGTTATAATTTTCATGAAACACTATAATTGTAAGAGTGTATATTGTCTCTTGCTTTGACAGTGATCAAATATGGAAAAAAATTTTTTCACTAAAGTTCAAGCATTTTGGACTTGGCCTACAAGAATCTGACATTTGAAAACTTGGATGGCGATATTAATTCATCCAGTGAACATTTATTAAGCACTAAACACATGCTTTAAACTCTAATATCTATGAGCATCTGATACTCCTAGAGTCTTCATGGGTATCAGTAGGATCAGCTATTCAATTGCTCATGGATTATTTAGAGAGATGAAAGAATGTTTTGCGTTCATCTCTCCTATTCTTTTGCCAGTTTTAGGGAGGTGAGTATAATAATCTAGTGTGATTTTTTTTGGGGGGAGGGTTTGGGGGGAATGAGGGGAAGATCTGCTCCTGCCCTGAGCCATAATTGTCTCTCTCAATTTTAGATGAAATGACCAACCATGATTCTAGAGGACCAACGATGAAACATTCTACTCACTCCTGAGAAGCAGAAACACACACACACACACACACACACACACACACCCCTTTACCAACAATGTATTAATGTGCCTGTTTCCTACGTAAAGTATAACCTCAGAGTTGTTTTAATTTGCATTTCTCTAGTTTCTAGTGATTTGGAACACTTTTTTGTATGGATAGTGATAACTTGAATTTCTTTCCCTGAAAACTGTCTATTTGCTATCTTATTGTGGAATGGCTTTTATCCTTATAAATTTGAATAAATTCTTTGTTTCTTGGAAATGAGACCTTTATCAAAGAAACTTGTTATAAAGATTTCCCCCCCTCCACAATTTAACTTTTCCTTTTAATCTTAGTTGAATTGATTTTGTTTATATAACCCCTTTTTAATTTTGAAAAATCCAAATTTTCCATTTTATGATCCTGTCTATAACTCTTCCTACATCTCTAAATCTAAGATAGTTTCTTCCTTGATCCTTTGTTTATAATGTGTCCTTTTATATCTAAGCCATGCAATTTGAAGCTTACTGTGGTATATGGTGTGAGGTCCTACCTTCTTCTTTTAGAGAAGAAGAAACTGAGACCCAGAGATAGAAATGATTTACCCAAGGTCAGTCAAGTAAAGACTGGAAAAAAAGGTTGCTCTGCCGCCTATGTGACCTTGGTCAAATTACTTAGGTTCTCTAGGCCTTCCTCATTTGAGAAATAAGGGGGTTGGAATAAATAATCTCCAAGTCCACTGTTCTTTCCACAACAGTGATGCCCATGAAAATAAGAGTATTCCTCTAACATGCACTCAGTCTTTGAAGAAGCATCCTGTCTATCACTCTGTGTGTTAGTGAGGAGAGAGGGTGGGGATAGAAGTGCTAATAAGTGGCTAGAAAGGAGCTAGCTTATCTGTGTGGTACAGGGTTAAGGAGAGAGGGGTGTGTATACGTGTGTGATAATTAAGGTGTCCATAAACTGTATGCCTGATATATGATAAAAAACAGTGGTTCCCCTATCCTTGGCATGGAGATAAGTGGTATCTCCTGTGTTTGCTTTCTATCACACCCACTCTGGTCTAGACTTAACCCCTCAGCACCAGCTATGAATTTACTGAACTCAATTTAGGAATTTGAAGCATTCAAAGTTTTACTCTAATGCATTCTTAGAGATGTAAATTATTTTGGTTTTGCATGGAGAAGACCTTTCTCTTCTTGCTTTCTTTGAGTGGTACAAGCTAGGTAGCATACCTTAAACTGGTTTGTATTAGAGCACATATAATTATTATTTTAAAAAATAAGGTGTTGGGGTAGCTAGGTGGTGCAGTGGATAGAGCTCTGGCCTTGGAGTCAGGAGGACGTGAGTTCAAATCCAGTCTCAGACACATGACACTTACTAGCTGTGTGACCTTGGGCAAATCACTTAAACCCCGATTGCCTCACCAAAAAGCAAAAAAAAAATAATAATAAAAATAAGGTGTTATCCTCATTTCTTATCAATATTCAGTAAATTCTTGACCATGTTTGACATAATTATTATGCAGTATTTGTTCATCACCTTCTTTATGATTAAGACTAGGGAAGCATCAGGCATGTTCCCAAATTTCCTCTAAGTTCTGAAGACAGGATTCTTAACATGATGGAATTTGAAGTCTTTCCATCAGGCCTTTTTTGATCTTCCTCTCTACACAAAGGATATCAAAAGATTTTGATCTTGAGGTAACCTTTGAAATCTAGTGTAACTCCATCATTTTGCAAGGAAGCAAACTGAGACTCTGAGAGTTTACATGCCACTTGAAGGTACTGTGATGTTTAAAAAGATGTTTAAAGTTTAAAGATGCAAAAAGTTTAAAACTATGTCAAGAGACATAGTTCCTAGGCAAGTAATCATTTTATTAATAATGCTAGCATTTTATTAATAAAAGGAATGATCATTTGGCTGTCTTGGACCAGAGACAACTCATGATGCTGGGCTCACAATTTATATGCCATTGGAAGAGTGGGTGTTCCCTAGGGTAGCAATCAATTCTGATTAATGAGGAACTG